GCAATTCCTGCAGGGAATCCAGGGCAGATAAACCCCTCAGGACCAATAATGAGAGTAGTGATGCCAGTATGGTAAGGGGAAAGTGGGGTAGAAAGGGGCAGCCGATCACAAGGATCTACATATAACCCCCTTCTGGGGGACGGACAGCAGAAAAGTGGATGAAGGGAGAGTTGGACAGTGTAAGACATGACAAAATAATAATTTATAAATTATCAAGGATTCGTGAGAGAGGAGGGGCAGGGAGGGAGTGGCAAATGAGCGGATATCAAGGGCTCAAATAGAAAACAAATGTTTTGAGAATGATGATGGCAATCAATGTACAAATGTGCTTGACACAGTGGATGTATATATGGATTATGATAAGAGTTGTATGAGCCCCCAATAAAATGATTTATTTTTTTAAAAAATAAAGAGGCAATTAAATTATAAACTAGGATATAAGTAAATAAAACAATACTATAGATAGACCACCCCCCCCCCAAAAAAAAAAAAAGTGTTTTCCAGTCAAGTCTGATGGGGTACCACGCCCTGGCCCCACAGTCTATTTTTGGTATTCCCTGGGGACTTCGTTGCTCTGTTCCCCTTGCTGTTCTCTGCACACCCTTAGTGTTTCACCTCAGTGTGCTGGGGTCAGATCAGGCACACAGGAGCAAATGAAGGGGGAGGAAGAGAGAGTGGAACACATGTTGGACCACTAAGCCCTGAGGATGATATTCCTGTTCAGAGCAGCCAAAGCAAGAGAGGACCGACCACAGGGCTGGCCAAACTACTAGACACGGCGTCCCTCACTGACCCTCAGCTCTACGGGGGACAACACTGGAGACACCGTGGGGGAATTGCGCCCGATCTGACCCCACCACACTGAGTCAGTATCTTCTCCCTTTTCCCTTATCTTCTGCCCTGCCTCCTCACACCCTCTGTCTGAGAGCCTATTCCTCATACAGTAGCTGAGCAGGACGACTCAGCTCATCCTCTAGGGAGACTGACTAAAGACGCTTAAGGCAACTTTGAGCTTTCTTTATGCTCCAGACCTTTATCCCCTTAGACAACCCAAACAACAGCAACAACAAAAACAACTGCTCCCAGAGTGTCTCCAAGACTGTATTGGAAAGCTATCTGCTGCATCTTTCTCTTGTGGAGTGGCAGGTAGGTTTGAACACTCAACCTTTTGTGTAGCAGTCAAGTGCTTAACCACTATACCACTTGAGTGGCTCCTTAGATGGCCCAGAGATACCGAATACATACTCACAGCCATCGAATTGGTTCTGACTCATAGTAACTTTACAGAACAGAGTAGAACTGCTTCGTAGGGTTTCTGAGGCTATGCCTCTTTACAGAAGCAGACTGCCTTATTTTTCTTCCTCTGGGTGGCTGGTGGATGTGAACCACGGACATTTTGGTTAGCAGCCCGATGCTTATCCATTTGGCCTCTAGGACTCCTTACTTAAAACCCAGTGAGTCAAAAAATATGATCTCTGGTAAACCTCTTGTTTTTCCCAAACTTGTGTCCATTCCTTTCATTTATAACTTGACCTTTCACTTCACTTTCGCACAGGTGGCCTAGTGGGCTAACCATAAAGTTAGCCACCCTCTGAGGGAGAAAGTTGAGGCATTCTACGCCCTAAAAAGTTGCAATCTGGAAACCCACAAGGGAAATTCTACTTTGCACTGCAGGGTGACTATGAGTCAAAAATGACTAGATGGCAGTGAGGATTTTTTTTTAAACAAAACAGTTTTATTACAGTTTTTCAATTCAGTGTTCAATCATGTTATGAAGAGTTGAACAATCATCACTAAATCATTTTGAGAACATTTCTTTGTTCTTGTGCTCTTCCTTATTAGCTCCGCATTTCCTCCCAACCTCCGTTCCCCTAGACACCAAACCAGACTCACTGCCATGGAATCCATGCAGACTCCGCAGCCCCCTTGTGGGCTTCTGAAGCTGTAGCTGTTTATACGGGAATAGAAAGCCCAGGCTTTCTCCCTTGGAGCTGTGGGTGGTTTCAAACTGGTGACCAGAGGGATCACAGCCCAATGCGGATCCACTACACCACCAGGACTCCAGTCTATGTTCCCAAGGAACCATTAACCCCATTACTATCTCTACAGATTTACTGATCCTGGATTTCCTGTATAGAAAATTATTAAAACAAACCCAAACAACAATAACAAAGTAAAATATATTTTAAAAAACCCAATCAAAAGAAAGCAGAGCATATTTAAAACCAGAACAACTTTGAAATGGGTCAAAAGGGAGCTCAAATGATAAGCTGTTAACTTTTAGCCTAACTGCTATACCAAGGAATTCAGTGCTGTGATTTAATTTTCTCTTTCCATTATCCACAGGTCTCATCACTTAACCAGCCCTTCTGCATGCCTTTCACTTCCTTTGCCTTTCTCCTCGCACCGCTGCCACTCTAGTTCAAGGCCTGACCATGCTAGCGTGAACGAGGGCTTTAAGTTCTCCGGTTGTTCACCATCTGCCCTCCGTCACCTTCCCATCCATTGTCCACACTGCTGCCCCACGCTGTGAGTCGGGATTGACTGCAGCATTGAGTTTGAGCTCTGAGTCCCACTGTGACGTGGCAGAAAGGTCCTCTCCGGTCCCTCTCTGGCCTCGTGTCCTTCAGTACCTCCCGCAGTGGTTCTCGGCCTTCCTCATGCCGCAACCCTTTCAGACTGTTCCTCAGGTGTGGTGACCCCTCCAACCAGAAATTATTTTCGTTGCGATTTCATCACTGTCATTTTGTACTGTTATGAATCGGGCAACCCTTGTGAAAGGATCGTTTGACCCCCCCAAAGGGGTCGTGACCCACAGGTTGAGAACTGCTGCTCAGAGAAGAAATGTTGTGGGATAAACTTCCTCATGTCTTACTATTGCTTCTGGGCCTTTTCCTGCTCTGACCTTGGCCCTTTCCCTCAGCCATCACAGGTGCCACCTCTGTGTGGACCTGGTTGTTTCCTCCGATCACTTCCAGTGCCAGGCCTCTGGGTCTTGACCCCTGTCACGTGGTCTTCCGATGTCCTTCCCCTTCTGCGTAGTGCTGGGAATCCTTGCCATTATGCCTCCTCTTCAGGAAGCCTTTTCTGAGCCACCCAAGAAAAGACATTCTATTGTAATCACTTGCTTTGTTCCTAACTACTCACTGCCTTCCTTACATGCAGAGGATGGCTGACCGCCTCCAGAGGCACCACCCGCAGGTGTTTGGTGAATACACAAATGAAAGCATAAAGGGGAAAAATTTAGGTTACTGAGTTTGTTGGTCGATATGTGTCGGATACCTTAGTGAACGTGGGAGTGACCTTATCTGCCCCGCCGATAGACAGGGAGCTATAGGAGTGCTTCGATGAGGTGACTAGTCACACTTTTAAAATGACTTAGTTTCCAGAGCACACTGAATTAATAGAGGAGGAGAGCTGGCCTAAGAACAGCCTGTCATTCCAGAGTATGCAATATTAATTCTTTTAAAGTATTTATTTTAATATTTGGCAGATGTTAGCATTATATCATGCATTGGAAAATTAAGAAGATGCAATTGATAATGTCTCTCAAGGACAATAAGATGGGAAGCATGTCGATAATACAAGAGAGTTTTACGAGGCAGTGTGTGATTAAATCCTAAATGGTTGTGAAAGAGGAGAATGTTGGTGTGCTGGGAGGATGAGCGACCACTAACCAAAACCTCTGACTCCACGTGCAAGGCGTGTTGACGGTGAGCACGCCCTGCAGAAAGGAGGGCCATGTAATTCAAGTTCTCAGATGTTCAGGTATGCAGGTGGCCTTCTCTCTTGGCTCTGGTAATGAAGGAAGTACATCCTGTTCCTGTTTGAAGGAACTTTGGGGTGAGATTTTTGGATGAGCTTTTGAGTTCTCAGAGAAGTCAAGTTGAATATCTTCACAGTCATTCATAACGATGAAGGCGAGTGTGACTTGCAAGTTGGGGGCGGGGTGGAGATAGTCCTGTGCACCAGAATGGTTGCCAGCGAGCACCCAATCTCAAGAGCAGTAGGACTGTTGGGATATGGGAATATTGGGATATGGGATATTGGGATATGGGAATATTGGCCACTCAATATTGTGAAAGAAAGGAACATGTGAGGTCAGATTTCTTGAAAGTATTTTTCAGTTCGTTTGTTCCTAATCTTATTTCTGCTCTTTTGTAGTTCCATTTTCTGAGGGCAAACATGTCTTTTAAAACAAATGTGAATTGTAGATCATCCACTTTCCTGTGGGGGTCGCTATGAGAGTGTCAGTTTAGCATCTCTCCTCTGGCACCCAGCAGCATATAGCATGACTTGGCACAATTCACCCAAGGCTTGTGAGGTCTGGTGTGTGTTGGCGTTTTATTTGTTTGATTTTCAATGGTGGTCTGAGCTCTAACCCCACCAGGAAATCTACAAGCTCATCACTATTCATTTGATGATTTTAGTTCTGAACATGCTGCACCTGTATTCCCCCCCCCCCCCCCATGTATTGCTGCATGGTTATTTTAGATTTCCATTATGCCTCATTTGCAAATGATAAATGGATACATAGATACACATAGATATAGGAAACCGTTTTGGTGGCCTTTGCAGCATGACTGAGAGTAGCCTAAACTTGGCCTTCTCTAGGACCTCAGATGATTGTTAAATGGGGTTGTCACTCAGGACACTTACTGGTTTCCTCCCGTGCATTTAAAAAATTGAATTAAACATGATGAGATACATCCCCTTGATTAAATGTTTTTCCTCCTATGCAATCACCATTAGCTATTTGGCTCCCGTTCTGTGTTCTTTTGAAGTGGCCCTGTGTTGCAAATCAATATCTTCCTGCAGAGACAGTGTGTTGTGAATTGCCTGGACAGCACACGCACGGTTACTTTGGCTGCAATGCTGCTGCAGAGCCTGGGTACTCTGCCTTTCTGGGGACTCCACAGGCAAGTCCATCGTGTTTGGAGGGAAAAAAAATAGACCTTTTTGAGGGGGGGAGGAATCCAACTATTCAGCTCTTCCCTGTGAGTGCTAGCATGTCCTTTGTGCTCTTCGGAACCGTTTGTGATTGTTTTCCACCGAGATTCTCTTCCCATAGGTGATTTCTGGAGGTTTTTTCCGGCTTCTGCTTCCCCCTCTCTTGGTTGTAGTACGGCCGTACCATTTCAGCTTGCTAGTGCAGAAAGATGTGAATTCAGTTGCTGTGTGAGCCTGGCCTGATGCAAACCCATTTCCAGAGACATGTTTAAAGAGTTCCAGGTGAATCAAGCCTGAGAGAGACGACAGCAAAACGGTAAGGACAGAGCATGCTTACAGTTACAGCAGGGGTTTTCATTTGGAGCAGCTCGGCAAGTCTGAAGCCTGACTCACTCATTTACAACTTGAAAAGGATTCATTTTCTGCATGTCATTTTACTCACCCTCTTCTGTTTAACTGCCCAAAGCCCCACAGGCTGATAAAGGGGGGGTGGGTGTTTGAATTAAGGATCTGGCAGGAGGTTACCCCAGGGAGAGTCTCGTGAGGCTCCCGAGGCTATTATTGCTTGTGTAGTTTGTAAACACCAGTAGCAGCGGTAAGATGAGGGAAAGGTTTAAGGGCTGTGCGTCTTTGCCATCGCCAAGTCTTGTTTCTTCTGAAACTAGTCGTATTTAGTATAGCTTTAAGAGATCTTCTAGATTGTTTTGCTTGGCTAGGCTTGACTGGATGCCCTCTGAGTCAAGCAATTGTAGGACTTTTCTCATTTGGGTAGCCCGGTGTCTATGAATCCAGCTGGATTGGGTCTGAGTGGAATACACATCTCTAATACATCAGGAAACGGGGGCTTCCTCACTGCTCATTCCGCCCTGTCCCCGTCTGGAGCACCGGAGCACACCTGCTTGCAGTGCCTGCTGCCTCGCCGAGGTCAGTGTGCCGGTATTTTGCATCATTACACCTGTAGTGGTTATGTTTTCATGCGGCTCTGCTGGAAGTGCTGGCTCTCATAGTGGACACTTAGCATTTTGGAAGCTAATGGAGAACCCCTGCTTGCATGAAGGACTGGGGCAGCAGACAGGTTACCTGCAAATCATGCTTGCCTGCTTGTGAACAAGATTAAAAATCAAGAGAGAGAACCATAAACATTAGCCCCAGCAGAGGTTAAATTTCTATTTCCTTTGTTAATTGGCATACAGTATTGTTGGGATTTGAAGTTGAAGGATGCTTTTTAATTTTGTAGTGAGACTGATGGTCTTGGTGAGTTTATAAGGATCCATCTATTAAACAGGTGCCGAATGTTAAAGATGTCAACCTTTAATGCTTTAAATTTCTTGCCCTTTGAAAATAAATATCCTACTTTTGTATACTTTAATGAATGCAATCATTCATGGAAAATTTGATATGGCTAGTTATTGAGTATTTGTTGAAAGAATCCTCAGTAACTTGGTGTAGCATGTTGCCCATATGCCAGTTGTGTGTAATTTTGAGACATATACAAGAACATCTGGTTACCTGATAGTAATGCTTGAGAGAAATATAACATTAATGTTAAGGTTCCCCTCAGTTTTGTAATTGGGGCTTCACAGACCTGAACCCGCAATTATGTGTTACTGTGGACACACACTCTTTATTGCAATGGTTGGATGTTGATTTTGGGGAATGGGTGTTTTAGATATTCTTAAGAGAGTTTCTTCTATTTTGATCATTCAATATTTCCTAGAAAATAAAGATAGTGTATAACTTATTCTTTTCCAGATTTCAGTTGCTCTTTAAAAATAATAACAGAAGTCAACAAAATGTTCTTTTTCTCGTGGTTTAGATAATGTGCCCAGTGTTTGCTGGTGATCATCCACCCCCGAAACAGAATGATGTGCTCTGGCTATTTACATTTTTACCTTCACATGTGTCAGCTGTGGGGGCTATTTTTTCATCCTTGACTGAAGGAATTGCACTTGTGCAAACAGTAGCTAATTGGTGCATAGGTGAATAGCAGGACGGCCTTGCATGCTGGTGGTGCTGTGGTTAGATGCTGGCCCGCACATCCCAAGACTACGGTTCAAACTCCACAGCTTTTCCAGGGGAGAAAGATGAGATGGTCTGTCTCTGAGGAGCTGGAGCATCGGAAAGCCTACCAAGGGTCATTCTGTATCGGAACTGATAGATGACACTGCGCTTGGTTTTCAGTTTTTGCCTTGACATTAGCTGTACAGTCATGCAGTTCTGTTTCTTACAACAAATATTTATTAACCAACTACACTACGTAAGGCATTTTAAGGCTTGCTGTGAAGGAAATCAATCAATATACTTCCTTCCCTGAAAAAAACGTATGCAAGTGTTGCTATTTTGCCCTCGACTGGGCTCCATTAGACTTTGTCAAAGTTGGTAAGTTTGATGCTTTTGAATATTTTATTTCTTTCTCTGGAGAATTCTTCCTCTACTTTATCTTAATTTGTTTATTTGTTGAGCAAACACAAGTGGAGAATTGACTGTGAAACCGTGATAAGAACAATCGACCTGTCTTCATGGAACTTAAAATATACTTCTTTTACAGATATTTTAAGAAGAAATGTTTGGGCAATAATTTTGCATATCAGCTTTGGCAATAGTTAAACAAACAGTATATGCTTTGATTTTTTTATATGGAAAACACAGTCTCCACCCCCACTCCTGTCCCCTGTAATATATAATGTCACTAAATTAAGTATTCTTACAGAAGAGAGAATTTGGACTTACTTGAAATAGAAGCCTATTGTAGTGGAGCGGCCAGGATTCAGGAGTAGAAATGCCCTCAGTGTGTCGAACCTTGTCCGGCGTGTTAATTGAGCAGGCTGGTTGGGCTCCTAGTACTTTCACAGGTGAAGCAGGGTGATCTTTTTTGGTAGAGAGCAACAATCAGTGGAAATTCTCAACAGGAAGGTGGATTGTGGTTTTTGTCACTAATCACATTTGAATTTCCTTCTCTTCTCTGTCAATCTCTTACTTGACTTAACTTGATAAGCTGAGACTTAGCATTTTGAGGTACAGAATCAGAGAACTTTAGAACTGGTAAGTACTTGAGGAAATCACATTATTTAACTGGTTCCTTATCATATCTAGCATATGGGAAAGTGAGACTCATCCAGTCTCCTGGTGTCCCCGTCGGGGGAATTCTCTTACCACTGACTCACCACTGCTGCTTTCAGTGGACGTTCAGCACGACAGCGCGCCTTTGGTTTATATATACGTATATATGGTTCACTATAGAGACATAATTATAATTTTATTGGGGAATATTTTAAACTATCCTCATGGGGCATATGGTAATTTTATTGAGAGTATGATTAATTTAAGGAGCCCTGGTTGCTTAGTGGTTACAAGTGGGGCTGCGATCCACAAGACTGGCATTTTGAAACCACCAGTGGCTCCTTGGGAGAAAGACTGGGCTTTGCACTCCTGTGAACAGTTAGAGTCTCAGAAACTCACAGCGGCAGTTCTACCCTGTCCCAGCGAGTCAATATGAATCAGTATTGACTCGATGGCAGTGAGTTAGGTTTGGTTTATCATTAATTGCGTCAATGGTATAAAATTTTCAACACTGTTGAGCAAAGGAATGTATAGATGTATATGGCAGCTTTTTAGACCAAAATACATGGATTTGTTGACTTGTACAAATTAAAAACTTTAGGGACATATATAAACCATTGATATATGAATGGATTTTGAGTTTGTGCTTGATTGTAGCCCCAATTTAAGAAAAATTAGTTCTTATGAAATACCCTTAGTCACTCCTTGCATTCATGAAGAGATCACTGAAGATATGGATGCTATAGTAAAATGTGGTGAAGAAATCAGATAGTACCGTACTATCAGAAAGAATAGTGTCTGGGGTCTTAAAGGCTTGCCTTAGAACAAGCAGCCATCTAAGTGAGGTGTCAGTTAATTTACAAGGATGAAGCACATGAGCTTGTGTGAACCAAAGACTGTAAATAATAAAATCTAAAACTAGAGGAGGGAACAGTTTTAGAGCTTAAATTTTGTGCATCCTGTTTGGATAAGGCTAGGGATGACAGTGGAAGCCCAAAATCCATTTGCAGGCTCACTGCATAGATTGAGCCTCCAGTGAATTCCCTTTGACCATAGACAAGGGATGTGAATAGTCTTCCTATCAGACAGAGTGCATTAGAAAATAGATTGATGCAGATATCATTGTTAGAATTTAACATCTTATTATTTGATCTCCTATTTGACATGTTTTAAATTTGTTTTAGTTTTTATTATTTTATGCTTTCTTTTAGATTGAGGTGTTTCTCAGTTTTATTTTGTTATTGTTGTTGGGTTTAAATTTTTTTTCTGTTGTTTTGTATGGGTACCTGTATGTAAAATCCAGGATAGATAAATCCATGAAGATAGTGAAATGGATTAATAATTTCTTGTGGCAATAACAGGGGACGTTGGGGGGAGAGGTGGAGCTAATAACAAAATATTCTAAAATCCTAAAATATTTTCCAAAAGAAAATATTCTAAAGTTATTTGTGATGATCATTGCACAACTCTTCTTAATATGATTGAACTATTGAATTGTAGGATATGTGAATTCTATGTCAAAACTGTTAAAAAAAAGGACACCTATTCCCTGAGTTAGATAGAGAGAAATGGGGGTAGGCTTGATGGCTTATATCTTAGGCTGTCTTCTGTGTGGGAACAAAACTAGAGACATACATATATAGTAATAAATATATATCTTTGCCATAGCCAAATGAATATATATATATTCCCTCAAGTCACTTCCACCCTATAGTGACCCTACCGGACAGGGTAGCACTGCCCCTGTGGGTTTCTGAGACTGTAACTCTCTACATGAGTAAGAAGCCTCATCTTTCTCCTATGGAGTGGCTAGTGGTTTCATAATGCTGACCTTGTTTAGCAGGCCAATGCATCATCCACTACTCCATCAGGACTCATATAGAGGAGCTTAGTCTATGTATGTGTGTGTGTATCTAGTTCAAGGAATGGTTCATGCCGTTGTGAAGACTGGCAATGCCAAATTTGTAGGTCAGGCATCAGACCAGGGGTTTCTCCTAACTCATATGGTTTTCAGGAGAAGAGGACCCAAAATTGGCAGGTCAGATGGTAGGGTTATGACTCATTGGGCTGTGGGAACTGTTGAATCCTAAAATCTGCAAGTCAGGCACCAGACTCTAGGCTCATACACTGAGAAGCAGAGATCAGAGGATGACGGGTTGGACGTAGTATCAAAGGGCGGGAGGAAGGGAGTGGGGTGGGGGGTGGGGAGAGAGAGAATAGATGAATATATGAGCTAGTGTGAGTGCTTTATGAGGA